AAAAGACGTAAACGAGGCCAATAACCTCGGCTTCAAGGAGGCCAAGGAGAGCTACACCAAATAGGTCAAAGCCACCAAGAACATCTTTTTCAAGTCCAGTTGGAAGGCAGCCTATAAAAAATTAGGCCAAGGATCTGATTCCGAGGTCTTTTCCACTCCTCCTCTCACCTTCCTGTTGGTCTACGTGGTGCCCTATGCTAACGACATCTTCAATTCATTACAAGAGGAGACAGAAGAAGAGACCGTGGAAGAAACTGAGGAAGTGGTCAAGGAAGGAGGCGATCGAAGTAAGACCGACCAAAAGGAGCACAGTGAAGCGGCCGCCGCAGTTGATTTGGAGGAAACCGGCGCCGGAACCGGAGACGCCTCTACCGATCTCTCCCCTCTCCCCTAGCTTAGTCTTGTATTTTCTATTGTTTTTCTTTTGAACTTTTTGTAATCGGGCTACTAGCCCCTGTACTTGAATGCGCAATGAATGAAAATTTTAACAACTTTTGTTGCTTGCAATTACATTGTTTTCCTTCTTTACAAAAGTGCAATATTCTTGAATGAAACATCCATTCATTTAACCGGGAAAAGCATCTTGACCATATGTCAAAAGTTGAACAAAACATCAATTCTTTTAGCCGGGCAAAACACCTCGGCTAAAAGCTTGGAGTTGAACAAGTCATCAACTCCTTAGGCCGGGCACAACACCTCAGCAAAAAACTTGGAGTTGAACAAGTCATCAACTCCTTAGGCGGGGCAAAACACCTCGGCCACCTCGACCACAAACTTGGAGTTAAACCACAGACTTGGAGTTGAACAAGTCATCAACTACTTTAGCCGGGTAAGACACCTCGGCTAAAAACTTGGAATTGAACAAGTCATCAACTCCTTAGGCCAGGCAAAACTCCTCGGCTAAAAACTTGGAGTTAAACAAGTCATCAACTCCTTAGGCTGGGCAAAACTCCTCGGCTAAAAGCTTGGAGTTGAACAAGTCATTAACTCCTTAGGCTGGGCAGAACACCTCGGCTAAGAACTTGGAATTGAACAAGTCATCAACTTTTTCAGCTGGGCAAAACTCCTTGGCTAAAAACTTGGAGTTAAACGAGTCATCAACTCCTTCAGCCGAGCAAAACACCTCAGCTCGAAGATGGTTGCCCCTCATTCAAACCATCAAACATGACAAAATTTCAAAGTACGATAGTTCATTTCTATCATAAACAGATTACCATGGTGATCAAAAGAATTATATCAGTAAATTGAGGGGAATGCCTACCCTCCACGAAAATTACATTGAAGGTTCAAAAAAAAATAGTACAATTTTAAATTGACTGTGTTCCATGGCCGAGGTATGGCTTGGCCGCCTAAATCTTCCAGACGGTACGCCACTTTGACCGCCAAACCGATTATCTTGTATGGTCCTTCCCAATTTGTCCCTAGCTTTCCTTTGCCCGATACTAAAGTGTTGCCCATCACCTTCCGCAAAACCTAGTTTCCGACCTTGAATTGTCTAGGGTGAACTGTCATGTTATATTTCTTAGACAATTCTTGCTGGTACGCCATGATGTGGACTAGTGCCCTTTCTCTGCGTTCTTCAACAAGGTTTAATTCAAGGGCGATGGCTTCAACGTTCAGATCTGGCTCAAAATTTTCATTGCGGATGGTGGGCATACCAATATCCAATGGGATGACCGCCTCCCTACCATATGCCAAAGTGAAAGGCGTCTCCCCGGTTGAGCGTCCTAGCGTTGTTCGGTAGGTCCGGAGGACATTTGGAAGTTCTTCAGTCCACTTGCCTTTGGCTTTCTGTAGCCTTTTCTTCAGTTTATCTAGAATGATCTTGTTTGATGCTTTGGCTTGGCTATTCGATTGCGGATAGGCTGGTGTTGAATTGTAGAACTCTATCTTCAGCTCCTCACAAAATCCATTAAATAATTTTCTGTCGAATTGGGTGCCGTTGTCGGATACTAAGGCTTTAGGTACGTCGAACCGCATTATGACATTTTGCCAAACGAATCTTTTCACATCCTTCTCCTTGATGGTTGACAGGGGCTCCGCTTCTACCCATTTAGTAAAGTAATCTGTCATGGCTATAAAGAACTTGCAGTTGCCTGGTCTGGTTGGGAGCGGCCTCACTATGTCAAGTCCCAACATTGCGAACGACCAACTACTTGTGAGAAGAAGAAATTCTCTGGCCGGATGGTGAATTTGATGGGAAAACTTTTGGCATTTCTCACACTTTCTCACATACTTTTTTGCATCTGCCTACATGCACGGCCACCAGTATCCTTGCAAGATAGCGCGGTAGACCACAGATCTTCCCCCAATATGGCTTCCGCACATTCCTTCGTGGATTTCAAATAGAAAGGCTTCAACTTTATTTGGATGGACACATTTCAAGTAAGGTCCTGTGCAAGACTTTTTATACAAAGCACCAGACGGAGAGAGCCAAAATCGCTCAGACTTCACCTGGACTTTGTGTACCTCTTTTTTGTTAGTCGGCAAGATTCTTTCTTTTAGGAAAAGAATGATGGGGTCCATCCAGGAAGGACCTAGCTCGGCGCAGAGGACTTCAGTCTTCTCTGGTTCTTCTATACTGGGTCTAGGAAGGAATTCAATCAAGAGAGGGCTGGGGATGATTTGTCGGCCATGGAAGGCAGACCGACCAACTCGTCTGCCCGGCTATTGTCTTCTCAGCTAATTTCTTGAACTCGTATGGCTTGAAACTTTTTGATCTGCTCTCTCACCAGAATTTGGTATTTGGTCATTCTGTCTTCTTTAGCTTCATATTCTCCAAACACTTGGTTTACAACAAGTTAGGAGTCGCTATAGACCATTAGCTCGGATGCTTGCAGTTGGAGTGCGCTTTTTAGTCTGGCTAGCAGCGCTTCATACTCAACCTCATTATTTGACACTTGAAACCCAAGTGTGATGGAATGTTCAATGGTCAGTTCGTCTGCTGAGATCAAAACTACACCTAGCCTGGCTCCATGTCCGTTTGAAACGCCATCAATAAAAAGTTTCCACATTTCGCCGATAAAAACCTTCCAACATTCTGTAGGGTCTTGGGACTTTTGGAGGTTTAAGTGTTCTAAGTTGCTTGGCTGATCGGCTATTTCCGAGTCAAGCACGCCGGTGATGATTGCAACTTTCATGCCCTCATTCCCCCCTGGCGATACGGAGTTGGATCCAACAGGTTGTACTGTTATTTCCAAATCCATCAGCGCATTGCCAAGACGTGGTTATTTTCAAGTGACAGGTCTCTGCTCGGTCCAGCAATTCCCACGTCGCCTTCCATATTTGGTTCCTCAGAAGGGTTAATATGGATCGGAGTGGGACTTGGCTGTGCAATTTTCGCGATACCTATCCCCCTCAGCCAGTTGCGTCGGTAAGGTTCACTAGGCAAACCGGGTGAGTCCTAAGTGAGAATTCTACAACAAAGTTGGCCAATGCCTGAGCCTTGATGGCAGTTCTGGGTTAAAACTTGATGTCGAATTGGCCCAACTTGACTGCCTACTTCAAGATTCGACCAGAGAAGTTAGCCCGCTCAAACAAAGTTTTCAATGGAAACTCAGTCAGCACTACGATCGTATGAGTATAGAAGTAATGGGCTAACTTCCAGGAGGCCATCATCAATGCCAAGGCCAGTTTCTCAAGTGGCAAGTATCTTAACTCCACGGGGAGCAAGGTTTCGCTGACGTAGAAGATCGGCAGATGTTGTATGCCTTCTATCCAAATAAGCACTGCGCTGATAGCACATTGAGAAACGGGCAATTAAAGATAGAGTTCCTCGCCTTGCTTCGGCGTGACCAGGAGTGGAGCGGAAGACAGATACGTCTCTAGCTTGGCCAACGCTCTATCACACTCTTCGTCCCACGAAAACTTTGACTTCAAGGCTCAGAAGAAAGGGCGGAAACAATCTGATGACAGACTTATAAATTGGCTAAACACGACTACCATCCCGGCAAGATATTGCACATCATTTGCTGAGTTGGCTTGCTTCATTTCTTATATGGCTTTGATCTGAGAGAGATCCGCCTCAATCCCACAGTTAGTGACCAAAAAGCTCAAGAACTTCCTAACCCCACACTGAAGACGCACTTGGATGCATTCAGACGTAACTTGTGTTGCCTGAGAATGGCGAACATCTCTGCTAAATCGACTAGGTGGTTGGTCTCACATTTTCTCTTCATGGCCATGTCATTGATATAGGCTTCCATCATTTGGCCAAGCAAAGGGGCGAACATTTTTGTGACTATCCTCTGAAAGGTTGTCCTTGCATTCTTTAACCCGAAAGACATAACCCTAGAACAGAATAGTCCCCTCGACGTTGTGAAAGAAATAACCTCTTGGTCGGGCTGGTGCATGGCGATCTGATGGTAACTGCGGTATGCATTTAAGAAAGTTAGTCGGTTGTGCCTCGCTGTAAGGTCCACCAGTTAGTCGATTCTGAGCAAATGGAAACTGTCTTTGGGACAAGTGCGGCTAACCGTCTTGTAGTAGACTCAAACTCGTCATTTCCCATTCTTCTTTGGTACCATGACCGTGTTGGAAACCCACCGAGGGTAGTATACCTCCTTAATAGCCCTCGCTTTAGGCAAGTTCTTGACCTCTTCCGCCACTATCTCGGTGTGATGAAGCGCTGATCTCTGAGTTCTTTGAATGATGGGCCGAGCATCAGGAAAACATTGAGTTGGTGGCAAATGAAGTTTGGATCGACACCAGACATGTTGTACGGCATCCATGCAAACACTTTGATGTTTTCCACCAAGAAATTCATCATCTCCAATCGTTCTTGGGCGGTAAAGGTGGATCCCAGCAGAAAACATTTCTCAAGATCATTTTCATTGATCCTTACCTCCACCAGATCCTTAACAACTTTTTCATCAGCTCTAGTACCTACATCATCCAGGACACATTGATCTTCCGGTCCTTCAATCATTTTGCACAAAGCCTTTGGCAACTTGGCTTCCGTTCACGACCAGAAAACACTGCTTGGCCATAACTTAATCACCCTAAACTTCTTCACTCACTCCGGCAGCAGAGGGAAATCTCATGACTTTGTGGTAGGTCGAAGCCACCGCCTGCATGGCATGAAGCCATCTTTTGCCTAGGATCAGGTTATACGTGGAGGGCACCTTCAATACCCAAAATTCCACTTGTTTGATGACAGATCCCGCTTTGATCGGCAGAATGACCTTTCCTACTGGCCACTCCGGTTGCGAGTTGAAGCCGACCAGGGGTGATATGGCCGAGGTCAAATCTTTCTCTTCGAGCTTGAGCTGTTTAAAGGCGCCATAATACATGATTTCAACCGAGCTGCCTTGGTCGATCGGAATGTGCCTAACGTCAATGTCCCCGACGCGGAACATGACCAGCAACACATCATTGTGCGGCGTCTGAATGTGTTCAAGATGCCAGCTTGAAAAACTGAGAACATCTTTCACCTCGGTTTCTCCCTTCTTGACCGTAGGTTGAACTGACAGAATTTCCCCCATCTGCTCCGCCATCCTGATCATCTCCTAGAGCTCGCACACTCGCACTGGCTCGATGATCCCATGGATCACATTGATGACACCTTGGGGGGTGCATCTAAAGTTGCTAAGCCGTTTGGCTCGGTCTGAGCTTTGGTTACCGCCTTGACACCTCCTTCAATATAATAATATAGGTGGCCAGCCGCCACTAACTCCTCCAAATGTTGCTTCAAGGGGACACAATCTTCGGTGCGGTGTCCACGTTCATCATGGTAGGTACGACGATACCTCGGGTTGAAGCCCCGTTGCGCACCACCTAGCTTAGCTGGCCACTGGACGTATGCCTCGTCACGGATCTTAACAAGGATGCAGTAGATTGGAATTTTGAAAACCGTGGTGATGCCCGTTCAGGCATTCAACTTTCTCTTCACATCTTCCGCGGCATCACAGGGGTAGTCAGCTCGGTCGTTGCGATGACCCTTACCCTGGTTATTGTGGTTAGCACCGTGGTCAGGTTCTCGTTCACAATTGTTCGGACGGTTTGCCTCATGTCCGACCACATGAACTTTCTCGGCGACCCTTTTGTTTGCCGCTACTGGATTCACCTTCGCGGTAGCCACGATCGCATCATCCATAATTTGGATGTGCTCGTTGATGCATTACATTAACAGCTCCATGGTTGTTGGTTGACTCATAGTGAGCGAGTTTCGCAGCCTATGACCGACTGGGAGACCACGCTTGTACTGGATGATTGCCAGGTTGGTCGAGCAATCAAGAATCTCATTGAACGTCTCCCAGTACTTGGTGTTGTACGCCTTGAGTGGGTCGCCCAGTTCCATCTTGACGCCCAAAAGGTGGTTGTAGACACCCCATTTTTGACCGCCCTTAAGACTTGGGCGCTACTGATGGTTTGCTCGATGATGAAAGGTGTGCAGGGCAAAGGTTCAATTTCTTCGGCAATGAGAGGGTCAAATCCCAACTTCACACCCCATTTTGGACCAAAGCTATTTTGAATGGTTTTTAGACCTTAAAACCCTCTCTTTCAAAATATTTTTGAAATGAAGTTTCTACGATGTTCCGAGGCTCACATTTTGTCAAAAAAATGTGCTTTTCGATAAACCGAGCAAGGACAAAGTGGAAATGAATGAAAGAGAGATGAAATCTTTGAAAAATCTTTCAAAACACCTTGCTTAGGGGGTTTGAAGTTGAAGAAAAGAGGAGAAGAGGGGAGAAGCCAAGTTGGAGAAGAAGATAGGCAAGAATTGCTAAGAGAGGGACGAGCAGTCCTCGCTAAATCAAGCTTCTTTGTCTATACACTTTGAATTAAGCTATGAGGCCCCCACCGTTGGAAATAAGACTTCCGGGGCTTCATTTTTCATTCAAGAATCTCTTAAATCCGAGACCGAAGGGCGGAGATATGATTGGTTGAAGTTGGGCATCATCCCGGTTGGACTGAAACTGAGCATCCTTCACTAAAACAAGTATAACTTTTTATACAGTTGGAATTTTGATGCAAGGCTGCTTCCATTGGAAAGCTTACTTCCGGGGCTTCAATTTTGACACAAGAATGACCTGAAAACGAGTTCATATGAAGAAGTTATGCCCGTTTGAAGTTGGACCTGCAAAGCAGATTTTTCCTGCCGACTGGCCAAAACAAATGGCCGACCGACCAAATAGATGGCCGACCGGCCAGAAAATATGGCTGACCGACCAAGTTTGCTAGCCGATGACCTTCCGGAGTATTCTACAGATTGAATGGATGCCAGCTGTGGCAGCTGGAATGCACAGACCCTGCTCCCCATGCACGTGTGTGGCTGTTTTGCACCCTTTGCACCCCTTTTGACCCTCTTTTTTTGCACCCTTTGCTCAAAGCTTCTTGAGGAAGCTTTGACCCCTTGTCTTGGCTTTCTCAAGAAGCTTGTACCTTTGCATTAGCTTCTCTTAGAAGCATGGTCCCTTTGACCCTTTTGTATAGCTTCTTTGAGAAGCTTTATGCCATTTTCTTGCTCTATAAAAGAAACCCATCCTCCTCCATTGTTTTGGTTCAGCAAAATCAGACCTAATACACTCGCACTATTTTGTGCATTGCATATCAATCGCGTTGTTTAGCGTATCGCACTGTTTAGTGCATTATCATTTAATCTTATAATGATTCTATTTTAAAATTTTAACCCACTATTATAAGCTCTAACTATAGAGAAGTAAGTAATCTCTCGAGTTAGACTATAGAAAAAGCATCAAAATTCATTCTTGATAGTTGTTATAGTATGATCACTCAATCATATAAAGGTAATGGATTCGTACATAAATAAAAATTTAAACTCATATTCCAAACACGAAGTACAATTCACTTACACCTGAAAGGTTATTCCACCAACCTTAGAGCATTTACAATGGTTTGTTATTTGAGCTACTATCGCTATAATTTGACAACTTGAGATAAAAAGTGGTGCTACAATGGTGCCATATAATTTGACATAAGTTGTGGAAACTGCCATATGTGTCAACTCAGTCAAAACCTCTCTCTTTTCATCTTGCTTCATTACCCCTTTGTATGCCATAATCTTGCATAGTATTTTTGGCCTATGTGTGATCTGTTTTGGAGCATGATGTAAACTGTAGATAGGCTTATTTTGAACCCTTCTTCAACATTTAAGAAGGGCTCATCACTGTTTGGGACCTCTATGTGCCACTTGTCATTATACCCCTCTTTGGTCCCCATTTTTGCATGATTTATTAACCTATTGTGTCTCTGTTTTTGGACTTTGGTCTGAACTGAAAATGGCCCTATTTTGACCCCCTCTTCATGTTTCATTAAGGGTCTATGGCTGTTTGAGACACCCTTTGTATACTTTGTGTCATATCTCTCTTTTTGGCCCTATTTTGCATAGCATTTTGAGCATTCTTGTATACTGTTTTGGGTCCGGCCATCAACTGTGAAGTGCAATATTTTTGGCCTCTCTTCAACATTGTTGAAGGGCCCCTTTGTTTTTAAGGCCAGAAACCACTACTTGCTTCTTTGTCCATCTTTTGGCCCTTTTCTTGCATGAGAGCTTAGCCACTACTGTGTTGGTTTTTGTGGTTTTACATAAACTGTAAAACATCATATTTTGGGCCCCTCTTCAACATTGTTGAAGGGCCCTTACCTGTTTGAGGTCTGCAGCTGTGACTTGCTTCTTTATCTCACATTTAGGGCCATTTTTGCATGCTAGTTTTGCCCTATTTGTGTTTGCTGTTTGGCCTTGCTTGAAACTGTAAACATGCTTATTTTGGGGCTGCCTTGAATCTGTCTTCACATGTCATAAGTAAATAATGCATGCTTGATGTAGCTACAAGCCATTTCATGTGCTTAAATCTTGCATTTCGGGACCATCTCATGCATCGGGTGCTATGTTGTCTTGATTCGGGGCTGTTTTGGGTCATGTTTTTCTGCTGAAACTTGCATGTTTGTATGCCATTTTCCATGCCTTGTCATGTCTTGTTAGAGTGGCATTCTATGCCTTAGGTTTGGTCCTCGGTTTGCGTGCATGCGTGCACGCATTTCGAGAGTCTCATTTTTCATCTAATGGCCACTGATTTTGACATGCTTGCGAGCTATCCATGTTAGTTTAAGTCCATCATCGCATGTTGTTGCATGCCATGTTTGCTTACACGTTTAGGTTGCGCGCCTAGTATACATTGCTCATTTGCATGTTCATGTTGCATACTTAGCCTCCATGCCTAGGTTGCATTTCATTGAGCATGCATCCCTTGCCTCTTGATCAATCATGATAGAGGTTGGGGCCCTTTGATGTGTTTTTTGCTTGCATTTCATTTGATATCGAAGTTGCAAAACTTGGCCTCTTAGGCCATCATGCATAATTGATGGCCCGAGGGTCGAGGGTCATGCTCCCTTGAGTTCCTTGCATGATGGGAGACATGACCATGCTTACATGTACCTGAAATCCCATGCCATATGCTGTCTGTCCTCTGTTGCTGTCAAAACTGTCTCCTGCAAGAAGTTTCTGCCGACCGGCATAATTCAGTGCCGACCGGCCATTGGTGAATGGCCGATGACTCAATCAGCAGCCGATGGAAGTTATACATTGCCGGTGGGTATTTCCTCCAGCCGGTGGTATTCTGTAGTGTACAAGGAACCTGTCCCAGAACTTTGGTATTTTTCAGAGAAGTAAGACAGTAAAAACAGAGGCAGCAATGGTATGGTGCGGGCTTTCCGGACGAGACGGGTTCGAGCATGCATCATTCGCGCATCCCGAGGCGGAGGCTGAGGCCACCTTTCTCTGTTTTTTTGCATTCTTTCTATTAATTAATTAGAAATTCTGTAATAATTAATGAATTTGTTAATCCGGACTGTAATATTTATTTGTACCCTCCGAGTGAGGGCATTTGTGTAATAAGTGTGCGTGAGTGGGTGTATGTCTTCCAACCCCACGTCTTTCTTCCCTTTTATTTACCTGCTTATAATGGTAGACTAGGGCATATTTAAATTAGCATACCTTATGCTATGCATGCGTGCATTCATACATTTGTCTTGCATGCACCGGGCTCAGTACATCATGCTAACTGCATTTGTATTTCAATTCCAAATTGAATACGTGCATCAATTGATTGCATGTCACATGCCATGTTTAGGTTAGCCGAGCCTATTCTAATTGCATTTTGTATGTGTTGCATTAGACATTTAAACATGGACTTGGATCATGCATATTTGTTAACAAGTTCTTTGTTTTGGCGCGGAGTACTATGTAAGTATTTTAATGCTTTAGCATATCACATGCGTGTGAATGCTACCATGACAGAATGCTTACAAGCCGTTTGGCTCGGTCTGAGCTTTGGTTACCGCCTTGACACCTCCTTCAATATAATGATCCAGGTGGCCAGCCGCCACTAACTCCTCCAAATGTTGCTTCAAGGGGACATAATCTTCGGTGCGGCATCCACGTTCATCATGGTAGGTACGACGATACCTCGGGTTGAAGCCCCGTTGCGCACCACCTAACTTAGCTAGCCACCGAACGTATGCCTCGTCACGGATC